ATACAATGGCACAAGGATTTTCATGTTATCAGCATGATTAAATCGTGAGATTGTGCAAATAATCTGTGTAAAATCTCTTAGAGATATCCTCGGTAGCCACATTTTAAGGTAAAATAATTATGGTAAAGCTATTCAAGGAAAAAAATCATTGGATCTGTCAACCTCGTTGTCAACAGTGAATTTAACTAAATTTATGATCCATTTATTGCCGTATTTTAGCTGAGAATTCATTTAAGACAATGCAATACGATAGACTTACCTTTGAATTTATCATATATTCTTTTAAAATGGTCACCAAAGCTCTAAAACTCGATTGGTATCGTTTTAACTTCCTCACTCCTTAAAGTTTACATGTAAATTTGTCAAATTAAACAGCTGGGCATTCTGTTGTCGCTGTCTAAATATTGCGGGCGCATTTCTTTAACAAACATTTTGATTCTTCGAATGCTAAAAATATGCATTTTGAGAGGATTTTTTGTCCTCTTTTACTGGTTTGTTCATGGAGAATAAAGTGTTACTTGAAAGATTAAGTCGTAGTACTTGTACGCAACGATATAACTATTTAATCGCATGAAAACGTGCGAAGAATTTTTATTTACAAATGGGCGACAAGTGGAAATGTTTCACTCATTGTCAGGGTTTCAGAAGCAGAGTACAGCAGTATGGAAACAAGGAAGTGTTCATATTTTACTCTTGATAGAAGCTGAGTTGTTGTTGTTTCCACAGGTATGTTCAATAATTTGTTTGTCCTTCCTCATCTGGAATAATAAGTGTCTTAAAATACATATTTTGATGAAAATGGCACATATTCCTCTTGCAATTTTGTAAAAACTGGCCGTTGCCTTTAGTTAGAAGTTATATTTTATGAAAGTTAAATCATACTTTGTTTTATTAAAACCTGAGCTATTCATGGGAAAAATGTGCTAGATGTTGTAATTGACAAATCCACTTGTGAAGTGAAAATGTCATGTTGTTACATGTTTATGAAATTGCTCCTGTATTGGTTTGTTATAAAGTAAAAATTGCTGCAAAAATGATTTTGAAAATGTTGAAGTATTGGTTGTTATGAGATAAGAAATGCCGCATTGATTTGTTCGGTTTTAAGAGTCTAACGGCAATCCTGAATATAGGCATGCTTGCTTTGTGAAATTCTGTGGTGATATGGCATATAAATAAAAATATCTTAAAATTTTTACCATTGCCTCTCTCCGAAATATGGCTTAAAACTATCCTTATTAGTCAATCTTCATGGAAAAGTTAGTGGGTATGCTGGGAAAAATGCGCGCGGCACTTTTTTTGGACACTGAAGATGGTAACATTTGATGTTGTCATATATTGCCACCCTCTTATCATAGCATAACTTAACTTATTTTAGTGAGTTTGTTAAAGCATTGTGCTCACTATATGCCTGTAGTATCTAAGACTTTTTCATAGCATTATATGACAAATTTAAGTTCTGTTTTCTTTTATTTTTAGGTGATAGTATCTGTTCACTTGAGTGTTGGTATCAAATTTTGGACAAGTTTCAATTATTATTTCACGTTCCTTTATTCAAATATCCAAATAAATGGAATATGACATCAAACTGGATGACTAGATTCTGTTTCCAAACTTGTTTTTGTAAAAATAGAAAATAACAACTTATTATGTGTTGTTCTAATAAAAACTATTGTTTTTGATATGCATATTTAATTTTTAAAATTACAGTCCTTCTTTGCTAAAATCATGTGTACCAGGAATACTTGAAATCTTTCAGATCAGCTACCAATTCCCTTTATAACTTATGTAGCCAAGTGTTCTATCAATTTCTGTTCAGATTAAACAAATGATGGGTAAAATATTAGTTTAGATTCTTTCAAAAAAAATGAGCTTGCCTATTTTGAAAGCATAAAAAGCAATAAAATGAAGCAAAAGTACTTATTTTTAATTTAAAACCTTTGGATTGCATAGCTTAATGTTTTCCACTAAATATTACAAAGTTTTTGTTCGTTGAAATGTTGTTTTATCAGCTTTAAAACCAGATAAATCCACGAAGCACTCCTATAAATATATGTCGCCATATTGATTTTTTCGCGCATGCTCCGTACAAAATGCCCAGCTGTTGTCAAATTACACTTGTTTAGGGCACTGGAAACGAGACGCGGCCAAGATGCGCGAGCCGACATGCGCGGGGACATCAACATCAAAGATTCCGACATCGAGTGAGACTTCTGGTCTTATTATTTATTTTGTGCTATTGTTTTTAAATGTAAACATGGAGTTGCAACTTGATACTAGTACTTGTAGCTTCGAAGAAAGATTCGAAACAAGTGTAAAGGCTGTTCTGCCACGGCTTGGTTTGGCTGAATTAAAACCAGAACAAAAGCGGGCATTGTTTTATTTGATATCTGGAAAAGATGTGTTTGTAAGCCTTCCAACTGGCTACGGCAAGTCCGTAATCTATCAGCTTGCACCTTTGATTGTAGAAGAAATGGCACGGTTAGATGATAAAACGCGAACCGCAATTGTACTGGTTATTTCTCCGCTAGTGTCCTTAAAGAATGATTAAGTAAAATATCTAAGGCATAAAGGCATAAAGGCCTCATTTATTGGGAAGGAACAAGATGTTGATAATCTGAAGATTTTAAAAGGTGAAATAAACATTGCGTATTCGTCCGCTGAAGCAATGCTTGCAAACGAACAGTGGCGTGAGATGGTCAGTTCTCCTATCTATCAGCGAAATGTAATTGCTGTGGCCGTAGATGAAGCCCACTGTATCACCCATTGGTGTGTATATTAAAATATACTGTAATTTGTTTTTTCTAACAACGTACGTGCTCTTGTTGCCTTGACAGCCACGGCTATGAAATCAACTAGGGAAAAAATTTGCAATGCATTAAACATGAGAAGTCCTTAATTTATCATGGTTTCTCCTGAAAGGAGTAACATTTCTTATGCTGTTGTGAAAATGTCTAACCAAGTCAATGTGATTGAGTACTTTGACTGGTTATTATGTATGCTTAAATCCAACTTTATACAGTGTGACAAGACTATAATTTATTGTCAAACTGTAAATCAATGCAGCACTCTCTTTTCAATCTTCTCTGCAATACTTGGGTCTAAAATCTACATTCATAATGATAAACCAAACCCGAAAGAACGGTTGTCGGAGATGATGCATGCCAGAACACCAGATAGTGTGAAAAAAATCGTATTCAATTCAATGGCAGATAATAATGAGCATATAAGAGTACTCATTTGTACAATTGCATTTGGGATGGGGGTTGATGCCAAAGGAGTGAGAAATATAATAAATTTTGGCCCTTCACGTAACCTGGAATCTTATGTTCAAGAGAGTGGCAGATGTAACAGAGATGGCGAACTAGGACGGTGTGTCATACTATACTTGGGACGAATTTTGACTATGGTTTCTAAGGACATGAGAGATTAATATGTTATGACCCAGGCATGCCGAAGGGAAGATATTAATAAAAATTTTGATATACCTGTTGTAAGAAACAGTAATATGCAAAAGCCAGTTGGACATTATTGTTGTGATAACTGTGCAATGTATTGTAATTGTGTAGAAGGAGGATGCAAGTACAAGACTATTTGCTCAGTCAACCAATTGCAACAGGAAAGTAGAATACATGTTAGAATTATCTCTCAGCAACAAAATGCATCACTTCAAAAAGCACTTGTTACATACAAAAAGACATGGGTGTCATACTGTATGCACAAGAATCTTCAAGGTGAAAGTAAATTTCTGAAATTTCCTGTCCAAGTTTCTTGATGGAGTTTGGAGATTATCACATCAAGCAAGTAATGAATAATGCTCCATATATATTATCAATGAAAGACATTTACAAAAACATTGAGATATGGCGGATGAAACATGCTATTGAAATATATAAAATACTTAAAGGTATTTTCCCTGAAATGTAAAATGAACTATTACCAGATATCTCAGAGGACGAGGTTGACATTTTTGAAGATGAGGATGATGAGGATGATAATTGGATGAGACTTTTTAATGAATCATTCAATACAAGTTTTGGTTCAGACATGTTTATTGATGCTGATGAAAGCATGTATGTTGATGAGAGCATTGATTTTGACAGGAGCATGGATGTTGATATCCATTAGTGGTAAGTGACTAATTGTGGTATGATTTTATTTTTCAAGGGATAGCCTTTGTTAAGTCTTAACCCTTTAAGTGGCGATGCACCCTGATGCACCCTACTTTAGTATTTTACTCTGTCTAATGCCAGACGATTTTACTCGTCAAGTGGCAAGTGCTACCACTCAATGGGTTAAGAAAGAGTTAACCGCCTGCAAAACAATCATATGCATAAAATTGGACATTATAAGTTTTTTGTTATAGACTATCAAATTATATACATGTCTAACACATTTATAATTGTCATAAGTCATCATTTCTGTTCAACTGTTTCATATATTGTTCAGTTAATTAATAAAAATTTACATACTTAAGAGTTTATTGGACACAAAGGAATTATTAAAGGATTAGTGTCAGGGTCATGCATTGCGGGCTTTTGTTATTGTTTACATTCAGACATTCCAACTCTCCCGACTTTACCGGGAGTCTCCCGAAAATTCATGCAATCTCCTGGTCTCCCGATTTTTATGAAATTCTCGCGATTATCGCTTAAAAATTATTTCTGGGATAACAGGTGAAGGGTCATGTTTTTGTTCATGGCTTAGCCTCCTCTTTCCATCATGTTTGAAAGTTGATGAACATCCTGGTGATCTGCACTTATATCTACCATCTGCAGTAACCTGTTGTTGTGCATTAATCTGGTGAGTCTCTTCTTCATTAAGAACAGACTTTATAATTTCAGATGCTTTGGAGTTAGCACATACGAAAGTATCCATGATAGCTTTTGCCAACTTGAACAAGTAGATCGCCCCCAGAATACTATAACCTTGGCTTGCTTCAACAGAATGCGGGATCTTAATTGTCACAGGTGCAGAATCAATGGATTGCATTCCAAGGATCTTTAGTGCAGCTGCCACTACCCTTGCTTCAAACTCCAGCATAAAGAAGTCCCTGCCCTGAGTATAAGCTTCATGTACATCTGCTTTAACATTCCTTCGATTAATGAGATTGCGATCACTGTACATAGTGCAGGGCTCCCCAGATGATTTAGGTTTATACAAGTGTTTGAAGATATTCTACAGTATAAAAGTTATATAACAGTAAGTTCGAGAAAAACAGTAATTACAATCAACCATCAAGGGTCCACTTTAGTATTCTTCCTCCATAGAACAATTTCCTATCTATTCTTTTCCTAGTAACAGTATGTCATTGAAAGGGTTTTACAGTCATTGAAAGGGTTATTACAATTATTTATTATATAAAGTATAGTGCTTTATAGAGATTTCAAGCACTGATAAAAGTGATAATCTCACATGTGAGATTATTTATGATAATCTCACATGTCAAAATTATCGCTTTTCAATTTTTGCTTTTCTTTTTAAAATTATCGCTTTTCAAATACTGTCTTTTATATAATAAACAGAAAAATACATGTGTACTTGGAAATACCAGATTTTTGTCTCGTGTTGAACACGATATCTCACTCGTTCGCTGAGCTCACTCATGAGATATCATGTTCTACACTCGAAATAAATCTGGTATTTCCGCGCACCCATGTATTATTCTCTATATAAATTATGGGTATACAGTACAGTCAAAATTATTATTAGAAGAATAAAGCCCCGTTTACACTACGCTCAATTTTTGGTACGGCACGGATAAAATTGGTACCCGTACCACTTTTTTGGTTCTTGGACTACCTATATTTTGAGACCTGTTTACACTACGCTAGATTTTTGGTACCATACCACTTACAGGTGGTACGGGTACCAATTTTATCTGTGCCGTACCAAAAATTGAGCGTAGTGTAAACGGGGCTTAAGTTACAATATTTTAATGGACTACAGCACTGCTTACTGTAGAGTACAGTACTAAATAATTAAGCAATACTGTAATTTACTCACACTTAGAAATTTAACACCAGAGTTCCAATCAGCTATGCCAATATGAAAACCATCAAGACATTCCAAAGGTGTTTATCCATTAGCCATTGATTTCACAGCATTAACAGCTCTCTCTCCTACAATTTCCTGCTCTGCGATTTTCACTTTTTCATCTTTACCAACTGTTGGAAGATACTGCTGGACATGTTGTAAAACTTTCACAATTCCATCATTTGAAACTTCTGACTCAAATATCATACCCATTTGCATCTGACATACAATAATTAAACAAAATGATTATTTTAAAATTAACATACAGGCAGTTGATATGACTGTAATTGCTGGAAAACCCTGTTTTTATGACTGTATGACAAGCAATTCTTAGTTGATGCTTCTAATACAAAGTTGAAAACATGCATTTCAACTTGATAAATAGCATAAAGAACCCACATAGGCACATACTGTAAGATTTATCCTTAACACCAATCGAACGACCAATTGCACAACTGTGCAATAAAGTACACAATAGGAAATTGATAACAACCAGTTGAACTGATTCTAAAAGGCTTAACCCATTACATGACATTACTCTTACACATACAGTAACAAGTAAAATAATCTGGTATTAGAGGGTAATATAACAAATTTGGCACATCTTGCTGCATTGCCATCTGATGGGTTACTGTTAAATACTGTTAATGAGGAGTGTTTCAAGGTGATCTCAATTAAGGTGATCTTCTGTCGTTCATGTGCATGAAAGACTGCAGATTACCTTAGCATTATTACCATGCTAATAAAGTTTTAATAACCTTTTTGCTCTTCTGATTCATTTCCTCAGAGTGTTTATGCTTAATGTATTTTGGTGCGCATTCAACAAGACACTTAAATGATGGGATTCGCTTAACCAAAATCCTTTGAATGTGTATGATGTAATTATCATATAATGCCTTATGATCAGCCATCGAAGGTAGCAGGTCTTTATTTTGCACATCTTTGATATATATCTTTTATATATATTTTGATATGCCTGAAATTCGAAACATGTAAACAAAAGGAGTGAGAAAATAACACCTTGTTCTACGCCCTCGGTGACATTCGATATTAAACTTTTTTCGCCAAAACTGACAAATTCTGATAAAGCATGCTTTCTTCTTTAATTTCCTCGGGGGGATTTTTAAAATTCGATCTAGAACGCGAAATATTTATGTTTGAATAACAGTGTTTTGACGCGCGTAAAATAGCAGACTCTCACTTGCACTATCTTTACACACACATAAAAAATTGGTAGATTTGGCAGTTTAAACTTATTTTCCCCACACCACAGCTGACATGTTTTTAAATATTACCTATCTGATCTCATCGATCTCATTTCGCATCGGAAATGCGTCACAACGATCCAGGACTGACAGGTACAATATCGCATGACTCATTACTGTACATTAAAAGTACCCGGTTGGCGAAATGGTGATTGTCTGACCACAGTTAATAGCTGACAGACCTTCGCGAAGGGCTTAATATTTTTGCTAATAAACTGTTCACGAGGGTTTCGTTCTGTTCGTCTTCTGGTTCGTCGTCAATCGTCATCGGCTGCCTCACTTCTTGGTCGCTTTCGTCCTCTTCAAAGCAAGTCGCCGGAGCAAACAGCGTTAGTATTTGCTGTCTTTCCAAGAGCTTCAACGTTGCTTTACAAACTGGGCTATCGCTGATGTTGGGCAGGATGCATTTGATGTGGAACGAAGGTCCACAACCACGGAAAACGTTCCAAGTGGATTAACCTTTTTGCAGGCACGCAAATCGCAAATCGATGGAAATTTTAAAGGAAGATTTCTATTTTATATTTACAGATCTTGATACATTTATAGTCAGTACGTCCTTGGAAATTGTTCCAAAATATGAGTGTGTACCAAAGTTAAAATATTACTCATAATCTCTAGAACATGTTTGAATGTTTTGAATCACTGCAGTTTAGAATTAGCAGTCCTTTAACTCTTTTAAAGACAACAGAACTGGCAGCCATGGCACCCCATAACTATTTAGTGTACAATACCAGTCAATGTAATTAATTACTACCTCCCCCAACCCAGAAGTAGGCAGTTTTTACTTCTCAGCACTGTCACTATCTGTAATTATCTGTGTGTAAATATCTGGTTTTGTCTTGGTGACCCTGCTTTGCCCCACACTTTGGGATTTGAGCAGGCAAGGATTTATATTGTCTGGTATTGGTACATAGTTTACCATAATCACAGGATATGATTGAAAGATTTTCCTACCAATTCACTGCCTTAAAAGCATTATATTATTTGCTTTGTGTGTGTGTGTTACTTTAAGTGTACTCTGGTTCCAGAGGCTCTTTGCGAGGCGAAAGAAACAAGATGCGAGAACGGAGAGCCTCTGGTCACATCAGGGCCGTATCACCAGGGGGCAGTAAGGCTTATATGTTGAAAAAAGTTCCAAGTATCCAAAGAATAATTGACATTCTAAAAATTGTAAATATAGTTTTCTTTAGGAGGGCAGTTTCCCCCTCCTGCCTCCCCCTCCCCTGTGCTGTGTACAGCCCAGGGTCACTGTCCATTGCGAATCCCACTTCCACACTTGATTAGGTTCAGCATTTGAATTTGCATGTGATTGCCCATTTGTAAAAATATGCCAAACTGGCTTGGGAAATAAACATTGCTGTAAGCTAATTATAGCCTGTATTAAAATATTCTATTAAACTCAACCAAGAATGTATTACATGTCCTGCAAAACTGATTAATGTTGATATGTTTATCTCCTGAGAAATTTAATACCTTTTCACCTGCGGGAGTATTAATATTCATGCTTGGTTGAGTTTACTATAATAGCTTGGGGCTTTTTAATTGGGGCTTCGGTGGCCAAGTGGTTAGCGCACTTGCCTGTCACCTCTGAGGCCGCAGGTTCAAGTCAGTGAGAACTTTCTCAATGCGACTCAAACCCAGTCCTCATGTGAAAAGAATAAACCGCAACGCTCTGCCGAACGTCACAGGTTTTCCCCGGGTACTCCAGTTTCCTCCCACATGGAAAGTTGACAGGGTGGGTTGGGTAAAAAGGGCTCACAGTAATTGGCATATGCTGTTGTGGTGACCCGGCCCTATTTGGCATGCTAAATAGATAGATAGCTATAATTAGCTCACAGTACCGGTAGTGTTTATTTCCCAAACAGGTTTGACATATTTTTACAAATGGCCAATCACATGCGAGATTCAAATTCTGAACCTATTCAAGTGTGGAAGTGGGATTTGCAATTGATATGATCAGAGGCTTTCCATTCTCACCTCTTGTTTCTTTTACCTTGCAAAGAACCAGGGTACACTTAAAAGTAACACACAGGCAGACCAAGTGCTGCAATTCAACTAAGGGCCTGTTTATATGCAGGAAGCCGGGCTGGCCTGCTTAGCGAGACAGGCAGGTGGGATGAATTTCTCTTGTGTTTATATGAGAAAATTTCATCCCGCTTGCTGGTTTTGACAGTTGTTAAAAATAGCTTGCGGCGGTATCTTTCATCCCAGCAACTGGGCTAGCCCGCTTGTGAGTGTTTATATGGAGAAATTTCCACCCCGGTAAGCGAGATCTCACCTCTTTTCAAGTGAGATCTCGGCAACCTGGCCAGCCCACTTGTCCATATAAACGCACAATAATTTTACTATAAAAATAACTACACAGCGAGATCTCGCTTACCGGCCTGTCTCACTTAGCGGGCCAGCCCGGCTTCCATATAAACAGGACCTAAGTACAAGTCAATATAAGTCCCTGCTTGCTTGAATCTAGGAAGTGTTGGGTTCATGGGGCAAAGCAGGGCCACTGAGACAAAGCCAGACATTTATACAATCCAGCAATTTGATTATGCAATGCTGGGAAATAAAAACTGCCTACTTCTGGGTTGGGGGAGGTGGTAATTTACATTGTCTGGTATTGTACACTGAATAGTACGGTGGCCCATACGGGCCAACCCTTCTCCGTAGAAACTTGCACCTTCTCCGTACAAATGTGTTGTTATTCCATGGAAATCAAACTTCTCCGTGGAATATTGCCGTTGTTCTGTCACGGAAAGCCTTTTCTCCGTAGAAATATGCCGTTTCTCCGTGGAAACACGCATCTTCTCCGTGGAAACACGCAGCTTTTCTGTGGAAACACCGCAGCTTCTCCGCGGAAACGCGTAGCATTTCTGTGAAACACGATGCGGTGGCCCGAACGGGGCACCTCTTCTCCGCAGAAACATGCAGCTTCTCCGTAGAAACATGCAGCTTCTCCGTAGAAACACGTGCCTTCTCCGTGGATGAGCACTTTCCTTGTGAATTTAAAAAGGCACGCCCCCCTGAATATTTATTGGGTTTATACGACGGGGGGGAGGAAGAGAAAATAAAGTCACAAGTCAACAAAATATAACATAAATATAACTTTTTTATATTTATGTTATCATTTTTATTTGTGGATTTATATTTTTATAAATTGTATATTTAAATATACACCGTATTTAATAATCTGTCAGTCAGTCTCGTATGCGGATCTGCTAGTGTAGGTATTTGTATATCCATACCTACACTAGCAGATCCGCATACGAGACTGACTGACAGATTAATACGTTGTATATTTAAATATTCAATTTATAAAAATATAAATCCACAAATAAAAATAATAACATAAATATAAAAAAGCAAAACTTTATAGTATGTATCTATTTCCACAATTGTTACAAAAGCTATAAACGATCAAAATCTCTGCCTGGCAATTCTCACAATTTATATGCTGGATATCTGTGCCCATATTAAAGTATTCATATTTATAAAATTGGCTTGTAATGTTTTGACCACGATGTTGACTTGTGACTTTATTTTCTCTTCCTCCCCCCCCCCGTCGTATAAAACAATAAATATTCAGGGGGGCGTGCCTTTTTTAATTCACAAGGAAAGTGCTCATCCACGGAGAAGGCACGTGTTTCTACGGAGAAGCTGCACGTTTCTACGGAGAAGCTGCATGTTTCTGCGGAGAAGAGGTGCCCCGTTCGGGCCACCGCATCGTGTTTCACAGAAATGCTACGCGTTTCCGCGGAGAAGCTGCGGTGTTTCCACAGAAAAGCTGCGTGTTTCCACGGAGAAGATGCGTGTTTCCACGGAGAAACGACATATTTCTACGGAGAAAAGGCTTTCCGTGACAGAACAACGGCAATATTCCACGGAGAAGTTTGATTTCCATGGAATAACAACACATTTGTACGGAGAAGGTGCAAGTTTCTACGGAGAAGGGTTGGCCCGTATGGGCCACCGTAGAATAGTTATGGGGTGCCATGACTGCCAGTTCTGTTGTCTTTAAAACGACTGCGAATTCTAAACTGCAGTGATTCAAAACATTGTCCAAACATGTTCTGGAGATTATGAGTAATATTTTAACTTTGGCACACACTCATATTTTGGAACAATCACCAAGGACGCTGACTATAAATGTATCAAGATCTGTAAATATAAAATATAAATCTTACCTGCGATTTGCCTGCCTGCGAAAAGGTTAATCCACTTGGAACGTTTTCCGTGGTTGTGGACCTGCGTTCCACATCGAATGCATCCTGCCCAACATCAGCGATTGCCCAGTTTGTGAAGCAACAACGTTAGCAAATGTTGAAGCTCTTGGAAGGTCTTCGAAAGACAGCAAATATTAACGCTGATTGCCCCGGCGACTTGCTTTGAAGAGGACGAAAGCGACCAAGAAAGTGAGGCAGCCGATGACGATTGACGACGAACCAGAAGACGAACAGAACGAAACCCTTGTGAACAGTTTATTAGCAAAAATATTAAGCCCTTCGCGAAGGTCTTGCAGACAATCGCCATTTTGCCAACCGGATATGTACTTTTAATGTACAGTAATGAGTCATGCGATATTGTACCTGTCAGTCCTGGATCGTTGTGACGCATTTCCGATGCGAAATGAGATCGATGAGATCAGATAGGTAATATTTAAAAACATGTCAGCTGTGGTGTGGGGGAAATAAGTTTAAACTGCCAAATCTACCAATTTTTTATGTGTGTGTAAAGATAGTGCAAGTGAGAGTCTGCTATTTTACGCGCGTCGAAACACTGTTATTCAAACATAAATATTTCGCGTTCTAGATCGAATTTTAAAAATCCCCCCGAGGAAATTAAAGAAGAAAGCATGCTTTATCAGAATTTGTCAGTTCTGGCGAAAAAAGTTTATTATATCGAATGTCACCGAGGGCGTAGAACAAGGTGTTATTTTCTCACTCCTTTTGTTTACATGTTTCGAATTTCAGGCATTCTGATTGGTCAAGAACGCAAAATGTAAACAAACGCGCTGATTGGCTAACATTATTTGCCCTTGTTCATTGGGAAGGTAAACAATGTACATCATCTGTGTAACATGACTTCTCCAGTTTTGTTAATATAAAAAGTATTTGAAAGAAGTTACTGTATACATACAGTACCTTTCATTTAATCTAAAGTGCATATTCTCATCAGCACTCCCAAGAGCCTTCAGTTTTCTTCGGACATTATTCTATTCAAGAATATAGTAAACACATTTTCAAAATTAAATAAATTATTAACTAAAAATAATGGTTTAACAGTCAAAACATTGAAGCAAATGGTCAAGTTAAACATATCAATATACAGTAAGTTACTGATAAGTAACATGGAGTGATAAAAATCAACTGACCATTATATATACAGGCCTGGACCTGGGTTTCGGTGGTGCAATGGTACGAGCAAGCACCTCTCAGAGTGATATATGAATAATCACAGTTACGTGAAAAGAGTCATTAACGTCATGAGTCTCAGGAAACTCTATTTTTCTCCGCGGACAAGGAATGTTGGTTGATATGGTAAGGATTCATCCTTTACAGACCCTTCCACGATTGCTGTGCTCTGTTATCAGACACGAGTCATAAAATGGCACATGTGTGTATATACAGTATATATATATATATATATATATATATATATATATATATATATATATATATATTTCGGAATGTGAAATTCAACTAATTTAAAAACATTAAAAAATTAATGTTTAAAAAATTTAATGTTTTTTAATGTTTTTTAATTTTTTAATGTTTTTTAATTTTTTAATGTTTTTTTAATTTTTTAATTTTTTAATGTTTTTTAATGTTTTTTAATGTTTTTAAATTAGTTGAATTTCACATTCCGAAATATAATTCGCTCCACAATCTCTGTGTTGAGCACTCTAGCAAAGTGGACAAACCCAACTTGTATATATATATATATATATATATATATATATATATATATATATATATATATATATATATATATATATATATATATATATATATATATATATATATAGAAAGTCTTCAACTCACAGGGAGTCTCTCCCATGTCTTATTAGAAAACATATTATATTATTGAATTATAAAATTTATACAGCTTAGTGTTGAATAACAGGCTAGATGCACGCTAATGCGAAGCACAATGCAAGGAGAGAGAAAATAATAAAGTGCTAAAACATTAACAAATACTGGAATGCAAAGCACTACAATATCACCATGTGCAAATAGAAAAGAGAGAGTTAAATGGTGCAATAAGGTCTACTACAGTGTAGGGCCTGTTCTTTGACATTTTTTGGTTAACATTTCAAAAGGGTTGCTTATGAGGACGACTTTCTTGACCAGGTCCGATCAGAGATTGCTATGACATGTAAGGGATTTGTGTTGTTTGGGTTTTATTATTATTTGTCATGTATTGGATCTTGGATTATGGCAAATACAATAAAAACATGTATGTAGTTGTTTATAATAATTTTGGTTACTAGCTCAACAATGTATATCAACAATGTTTGCAATTGCATGCATCCAGCATGCCCATGCAGGCCATCGGCATGTTGTCCAACACCAAGGAATATAAATACAATGTATTCTCATGGAGACATATTGGAGGGCTCCCATATTCAATCCATGACACCGAGCTGTGTCCTCCGCAATACATACTTTGAATATACATCATGAATACTTCTTTGGCCTGAGAGCCTCGCTTAGATCATGAGTTGTTAGCCAATCACCTAAGGCTGCCATGCCCAAAAAGTGTTCATGATGTATAATTACATATGGAAAGGATGTATTGCGAAGGACACAGCTCAATGTCATTGAGTTGAACACAGGGAGCCATTTAGCTTTATTATATAATAGTGTGTATGAGAAACAATTATCTATTAGTATTTTTGCACAAGCAAATATAACAAATCCTGCAAGTTGATTGGTCAAATTTGACGTATTAATTAAGCTGTTATATTCACCTACAGGTGAATACATATAACAAAACCGAAATTTTCAGAATGGCGGCTAGCGGTTTTGTGGAAGTTACTGAATGATGAAGAAATAAGCGGAATTAAAATAAATTCAGTCCCAAAAAACACAAAAGGCTTGTGTAAAAATACTAAAACAATTATTCGCCTTAGGCTCGGTGATTATCGGGGAATATTCACCTCGACTTCGTCTCAAAGAATATTTCCCGATAATCACCTCGCCGTTGGCGAATAATTGCTAAATGTTCATACATTTTATTTCAGCTGAATTTTCACCTAAATGTTCCGAACTTCGTTCCAAAGTTGGCAAATTTGTTGCAAAATTCGAAAGTTGCCAAGATTTGTTGCGAAGTTCAAAAGAAATCATATTCACAAACCGGTTTGTAAACTAAGCCTTTGGTTGGCTTCTTTTATTTCTGGACCAATCAGGGACATACAAATCAGCTTGCCGAATTTTAATATGAACTTTCGAACTTTGCAACAAATTGGCCAACTTCAAAACGAAGCTTGGAACATTTACGTGAAAAGTCAGCTGGAATTGGTGGCAATGTGCCCAGACGTGCCCCTTGGATTTACTCTGTCTAACACCAGACAATTTTACTTATTAGTGTTAGCTAGGGTACAGCCAGTGAATGGGTTGATACTTAATATAATTATTTGTATGATCATCCATTTGTAATATTATAGAGGCATTTATAAAGACATGCATACAACAGAACAAAACTAAACAAAGACCAATTCAAATAATATGGACATTTTTGTCCTCATCTTCAAAATGCCAATATTAAAACCTGTTATTCAATATAAACGGTCAATGGATAAAGCCATTCAGATGAAATGGTTTATAGGAAATCAATGAAATTGTATTTAGTACTTACACTACAAGCTTTGGGCACTTTTTGTTTGTTCTGTCCGGTCTGTCTGACTCGTCTCCCAGTTGCATTTGTTCGGGACAAGATGTCCATTTTCGCTTCAATACTTTTCAAAGCATTTTCATTGTTTGATATTGTATTGGCCATTTGATCTCTCAAGAGCCTGTTCTCCTCAACCACATTTTGTAACAACAAAACATACTGATCGGGTAAAGACGTTTCAGTAGCCATGTCGAAAAATCCAGTAAGGTCAGATTAAGCTGTTCGTCGCGAAAGGATTTTGAACACACAGAACACAGTTGATTATTGAATTGTATGTAGTTTTATAATTGAGCGCAATCGCGTGGCAACATTCCATTGGTTGTAGAATACTTTCACAGCAGGATTCTAACATTCTCATATTTCTTTTGTTAGGTACTATGGTATAACACACGAACTGACGAACATCAAAGCTCTTTACCCAGAGAACGTAGAAAAGCACTGCCCTAAGTCACTCTCCTCCGCGGTCCGCAGAGCCTTACGAATTTTTAGTAAAATTGCGTAATATTAAGGGGGGGGGGGACAAATTACGCAAGTTATGATGGGAAGACGGAAGCTACGTTTTGTCAACCATCGATCTCACCCCCCGTCGCGTACCACTAAATATCCTCTACTATCCCTACAAATCCTATATAATTCTCTCTGCGGAGGAGAGTGGGCCTAAGTACAAATTGGGCTTCCTTACGAATACTAAGTAATTTAAAAATTGATTCCGTGCACATTTCCTCTGCAACAATAATCCGCCATTATTTCAGTCGCGTTATTTATCGAACAGAGAACAGACATATTATGAGATTGCCTGCCCACCCTATAGGGGACAGTTATCCGACCGGAGATAAATTTAATAAATTCATATTTAATATTGCGCGCGCGGGAAGCACACATTATGTACTTTGGCGCAGTGACTACGAATCGACAAATATTTTAAAAAGCCTTAAATTCTGTAAAGCTTTTGGTGGTATTCCTTGCGCAAAACCAGTTGAAATGGCGCATTTTAACCAGTCTTTCCACACAGCGAGTGACGCACTTGCTACCAGTGGAATGCGCAGCCTTCTGGAAGCTACAAGCCCAGTGTCACCAGAGGCTGCACAGAATTGTATACCCGCGAAGCAGCGTCGTCTCTCAAGACCAAATAATATTGAGGAACTGCGTCTTAAACGTCGCCGACGTAAACACAGATTACGAGAAATAAAACGTAAAGAGTCCAGAAATGCCAAGCAAAGACGACTGGAGGACAAAATAAAGCGAAATATAGAGGAAGAATTCAAAGCTACAACTCGTGCAGCTACATCACAAATGAAATCCAAGGCCGAATTTTTTTGGAGAAAGTGGAGAGAGGAAAAGTCTTTGCGTACAACGTCTCGTATGTAAGTAGATGTATATTGCTCCTTATAAATATAACTAGAAGTAATCATAGATTAGCGATGTGCGTTCGAAATGTGTGATTTTTTGTTGATGCAAATCTGGCCTAAGAGTTTATGCAAATCTGGCCAATGCATATCAGCTGATGAAAATGTATGTAGGAGCACCAACAGTTGTTACAATGGCTTTGAGATCTTCTCTCACTTTATACCAGTAGGCATTTGAGCCAGCAACATTTGCTACATATCGAGATATCTTAGAAATAAATATATTGCTGTTACCACTTGACGCCATTTCACGAAGTTCATCAATCGTCAAGTGAGCCTCGCCTGGATTTTGCTTAAAAAATATTCCACTTTGCGGTAAGACTCTTTTTCTGTGTATCATGTTCAATGCCCAATAAGTAAACCTAGGATGACTTCCAAATCTATAAACCCATTTGCCATTTATATAATCAGCAAATTTAATAAGATGTTTTATCTTCTCACCTAAGGGAATGTCTTTTAAAATACCTGGATTTGTTGGATCCCCTGTACCATCAGGAAATAACGTAGGAAATGCTAACAGGCGCTAAAAATGGTGTCTGATATTCATTTAAAGGTTGGTCATCTACAGTAGGCCAATTGATTGGTTCATTTGGAAACACCTGATTTTTTATTGCATCCACCTCTTGTGTTTGTTTTTCACAGGCTGGCAAAAAACTACTCATTTCTGCAGATTGATTGTAAACCTTGTCTTGATCATTATCAGTAGGAGGCCCTAAGTCAGGTAATATCATTTCCTCTGACAAGATATTACTATCAGATTCAACTGTTGTTATATCAGATGGAATGCCATTATTGTCAGAGACTCTAAAGCATGTTGATTGATGGTCACATTTCTATAATGTGGATTATCTCTCAAGTCATAATAATGCATTATACACTTTTTCTCTTCTGACTTATATCTTGGCAAAACAGATGCAAGCTCTTCAATATGTTGAGGTAAATTGATGCAGTGCCCAGAATACCCTCTTTGTCCATGCGGTTTGACATAGACCCTCATTATTGGTAGAGCTCGAGCAATAAGCATTTCTTCTGTTTGAGTTAGGCCCTGTAACTCAATAGGTACTGCTCCTGGAATCATGCTGTTACTATTAGAAAATTTTTTGGGTTTGTTTTTATCCCTGGAACAGCGTAAGCATACATAGCTACCAGATTTTGGTTTACTGGTAATTGGCCATGCATCTTTGCAAACTGTACACTGAAAAATTGAATACTGCACAGATTTATGAAATTGTTGCATGTTACATTTTGCCCAGCTTTGGTCATGCAAAGGACCATTTTTCATGGAATCAAATTCACTCAGATATTTAAATTGACAAATATTATGTGATCTTCTATATGCAGTCATGTTTTCTAGGCAAAACCTTTTGGCATCAACAGTTTCATTAGCCCTTTGTTTTTTAGCATAAACTTTCCTTCTTTCCATTGTCTCCTTTCGTTTATTATCTCTCTCATTACCTGTGGTTGTATTTGGCAAAGTAGAAACATAATGAATATTATTTATATAACCTAAAAATACAATTTTCTGTCTCTGGTGTAAGTTAAATGGGCTTATAATAGTAGCATTAGGGTTTGAACTAGAATCAGTAATATGGATAGTGCAACCTAAGGCATTTGCTACAGCTTGCATTATGATATTGTCACACCATGTTCCAGGTTGTGACATTACCTGGATATAATTTTCCCATGATATTTCTGATAGACTTTCAACATATAACTCAGGATTGCTTACTAAATGTGTAATTCCTGCACTACGAATTTGAAAATGGGAGTTAGGATCTTTATATAGACTATGCCCTAAAGATGCAAAAAAGCAGTCATCAGGTGAACTTGTACTATCATATGGCACTCGACCTATTAAAGTTAACTTATTTTCCAAAACACTCCAAGACAAATTGGGATCATTACTTGGCGAATACATACCACCACGTAAATTACATGAATAAGTGGCACTTAAGTAGGTATCCCTTTGGTACAAAGGATATAATACGTCACTGGCATTGGCAATATCTTCATGATAGTTTAAATTGCTGAATTCTTCAGTATACAACTTTCCTCTGCCGGGTTATAATCACTGGCACTGATTGTGTTCGCTGTGGCCACAAAGTAACTAAGATTTTTGTGTTGATTTGTATAACTAGTGGGATTTGTCAAATATTGATTTGTGTGACCACCTACTATAGACATGGTCATTGTGCTCGAAAGCAACCCAGTAAAATAACTGGGATCATTTGTATATTGATTAAAAACAGGATATTTATCATCAAAATAAAACATGCTTTGAAACTCATATTCTTGAACAACAAAACTATGCAAAAAAATATATCTGCATGTAACAAGATCTATTTCATCAACGTCCAAAGACCAAAGAGAATATTTTGGTCTAGCATTTAAACCACTGTGATTTAAACCCTTCACGCAGAGCAAAGTTGTACCTGCTGTGAATTCGTACGGACTAAAAACATGGCAGCTCTGTGCTGACTGTGCGTCTGCCGTTGAAATTTTCAATGTCGGTTTTATAGTCGATAAAACTTCGCAACTTAGCTTTTAATACTCTCACAATAATCTTCAACCATTTCAAATGAAATATGGAAAAAAATACAAAAAACTTCACTTACTTTCCCAAGAAACAGCAAAAACCACGGTCACTTAATAAAAAAACAAAATATCGCGGAGAGAAATCGAAGAGAGCGAGCACAATCATGGTCTTCGAGAATGTCTTCGAGTCGCTATGACGACATAATTATATATCACTGTTATATATTCACATAATTATTCACACCAGAACGAGGCAAATGTTACATCGTAAATCTCGAATCGACACGATTAGGAAGCGTTCTCTTCGTCGAACGCAATTAATTTGAGTAGTTTATAGAAGCGCAATTATATGCGTATGTTTTTACTTACTGTATAATGTGCGGCACATTATATTCACTATACACCCCCCCCCCCCTGATGGGGTATATTTTTGCCCTCCAGAATCTAAGACGTTTTGTTTGAATATGTAACTAATGAAACTAGAGCGAATTTGCGCTCTAACAAGTATTTCTTACTTCCTGTATTGTCCGACAGTGTCTCGCAGTGCTTAATTCAGGTGGAATGAAGGCATATCATAGTATCACGATAGTAATAAACGTATCAGATGTCATCATGTTTATTGGTTACCATAACTGCTGCAATAACATTATCTTTAATCCTATTGAATTGTCGTCGTAAAGAGGACTAAAGTAGGTGTCAGGTTTTGTCTTCATTTAAAATCAAACTAAAGGTGATTAAATGCTATCTCTGCCTTTAATCAACATTTAAACAACGCGTTAAAGGTCATTAAAGTATGCGCGCTTTAATGTTGGTTTTAACCCACTTTAACTCCTTTCTAAATGCAATTAAGTGTATCATTTTCCAAAAGAAGTGTTTTATTCAGACTAAGTGCGATTAAATGTAACTTTTTTTTTAATTTAATCACCTTTAGTCGGCTTATTAAAGTTATAAATACACATTTAATATCTTTAGTATTTTTGCTAAAGCTAATTAATGGCACGCTTTTCGTCCTGTGGACGTTGAAACAACGTTGAAATTAGGTTGCCAATCTCGTCAACCACAATTCAACGTTGAATCCACGTTAAAACAACTTTGAGATTGGTTCACAAATCGACGTCGTACATTTAACCATGAATGAACGTTAATTCAACGTCTGTTGGCTGCTGTTGAACCAATGTTTGTAAAACAACGTCAGAGCAACGTAGATATTAGGTTGTCGACGTCGCAACCTTTTTTCTACCAAATTTCAACGTTGAAACAACATCGTGTGCCCGGTTGGAATAAAGAACAAAAGTTGCATTTGTAGCTATTTGCGTTCGCGTAAAAGTAGACCGTATGGAAATTGTCTTACTTTAACGGGAATTTTAGATATATTTAAACCGAAAACTGCATTTAAAAGCCCTTGAAAAACAGCACATTACATTGGCATAAAATTAGATTACTACATACCCAGATAACAGCGAAAATTAAGCATGAAAGTTGCAATAAATTGTAGCTAATTTGCATGCATGCGCACATGTCCGTAAAAGTAGACCATACGGAATTTGTCTTATCTTAATTAAAGAGAATTTTAGGTATATTTAAACCGAAAACTGCATTGAAAATCCCTTGAGAAACAGCACATTACATTGGCATAAAATTGGATTACTACATGCCAGATAACTGAGAAAACTAAGCATGAAAGTTGCAATTGTAATTTGCGTTCGTGTACAGGTAGGTTGGAAATTGTCTTACCTTAACGGGAATTTTATGTATATTTAAACGGATAACTGCATTGAAAAGTCTTGGAAAAACAGCACATTACGTTGGCATAAAATTGGAGTACTACATGCCAGATAACTGACAATAAATTTAAACTTTATTAACATTAAAATGTAATTTTAGGACTCTTATCTGGCAGTGAGTATTTAAGCGAAGAGTATTGATTTTTATTTGTTCAAATTCTAGGACAATATTCAATATTCTTTATACATATAGATATGGCCTTATAAAACGTTCTTTTGACCATATCCGCGTTTTATCCTTTTAGATAAATCGCGCATGTGACTTAAAAAGGACTGAAAACGTGTTTTGGACAATATCCGCGTTTTATTCTTTTGGATAAAACGCGGATATGACTCAAAAATGGCTGAAAAAGGTTTTTTGAATGTCCTCCATCCGTCCGTCTGTCCGTTCGCCACTCATCCGTCCGTCCGTCCGCCATCCGCCCGTCCGTATCCGCGTTTTATCCTAACCTAGAAAAAATGTTAAACGCGAAAAAAAATTTCAGACGCAAGAAAAAAAGTTAAACGCGAGAAAAAATTTCGGACGCGAGAAAAAATTTCAGACGCGAGAAAAAATGTTAGACGCGAGAAAAAAGTAGGGAAATATGAAATTCAAGCGCAATATTTCAATGGCACTAATACGGCTCCGTACAATAAGCCACAATAAAGCTAATTAATTTGTTTAAATTTGTTAACTTCAAATAGTCAATCAGTGATAAAACCTTGACCAGGCGACCTTGTTATTACCGTTCCTTGCAACTACAGATAAACAGTTGCTCATAAAAACATTGCTCATGTCTGTGAAAATCTTAAGTTTTCTTATTTTGACATAATAGCTATTTTTCTATAAATATATTGATATTAAATTTATTGAATCAATATTTTAAGTTTCAGGCCATTTATAGCAAAATTTGCAAGCGCATGCGCACCATAAAGGCGGATTTTCATTCACCACAAAATGTCGCGCGATCGACATTTTGCGATCATTTTCTTTTGAAATACAAGCAATCAAATGCAACGGATCACGTTGACTGAGCGGATTTGAAAAGAAAGTGATCGCAAAAAGTTGGTCTCGCGATATTTTGCACCGAATGAAAATCGGCCTGAAGGTTTTTGAGGCATGCAACATGTACGCACTGCGTACCTATTTTTATATATTTTTGTATATACTGTTCTAGTCCTTGTCTTTAATGTATGTCTACTTATTGTTTTGTATCAGGTTGGTCTTCACATGGGACTCATGTCCTGTTGACCATACCTTCAACAATCATTGGTATAATTTTCTATGATTGTAAAACCATAAATAAAATATAAATTAAATAGATGGTCTTAAAATGTACAACGTGTCATACCCATTCAAGGCCCAGAAACATTTCGTCGTATAAATGTAATGAGCATTATTCAATATATGAAATATTTTCAAAATGAATTTATAAAATATAAAATTATTAAAGTATTGTTAAAATTGTTTAGCATCCACGTTTTGCACAGAGAGCCCATCCCGGGTCTTATTGAAGTTATGTATTAGAATTACTTATGAAATATATAGCTCAGTGTTGAAGCCTGCGATTTGCGGGCTGTGTGTGGGCTAACGCGCGCATTGAATTCGGTAAGTACAATTTCTTATGCTGAATCGAACGGTGGTATTTTTATCCTTATTGCGCCATTACATTAGGCATTACAAATACAATATCATATTTCACAATACAGTTTTCACATTTCCACAGCTAACTATTAGGGACTGTTGTTGCATAAATTTTATATTGATATGACACCAATATGCTTCTCATAAAGTAGTTATCTATTAAAGCTACGTTGTGTAGTTTAAGTTATAACCTTTTTCCTTGAAATTGTCTTTGGCTCGTTTATATTCAGATTCAGTATAATTATTATGATTGTGCATGGGAATTCAAAGATCCAAATTTCGGATTTTCAGAGTCGTGCACCAAGAAAAATGCATTAACTAAACTAGCAAGAATTTCCAGAGGTAGACACAATGTAAAATCCATAGAAAACAGGTACAATTCGTTGAAAATGTTAACGAAATTGTTTGAAACATTTTGTCCACTCCACAAAAGGCCGCCATTTTGATTATTGGGTTTTGGATTATTATTTGATTATTGCC